CATGCAAATGCAGTGCTCGTGAAACTAGCAGTGGAGAAGGGCTAAATGAATGGAAGGTGTTGAAAACAGGTTAGTTTTCTGGGCCAAGTCAATAAAATTCACGTGCAAATGAAAGTACTTGTGTGCCTGTTGAACAGGTGATGCATTTGCCTTTCTGAGATGTGTGCTGTTATCTGTGTGCCTACAGTACGATCTGACCTGATTCATTAGTCTGCATAATGAGCTGGTGTTGTCAAAGCATTCGTGCATCTCTGTTTTCAGAGGCGACTGATGAATCTCCTATGCGAGTTGATTCTTGTCCAAATATTTTCCCCATAATGTTCTCCATAAGCTGCCTGACGTATTCCTGTCTTCAGATCCTTTCACTCGGAGTTCTAACTTCTGTCAGTACTGACTGTTCCACCTGCAGTTACATGTGGTCACCTGTAGCACGGATGTAAAATAGCCCTTTCCATCCCTGTGCAGCAGGATGTTCACCTTCAGCTGAATTACAGAATCATAGAATCACGGAGTGGTCTGGGCTGGAAGGGGCCTTAAAGCCCATCTAGTTCCAACCCCCCTGCCATGGGCAGGGACACCTTCCACTAGACCAGGTTGCTCCAAGCCTCATCCAGCCTGGCCTTAGACACTCCCAGGGATGGGGCATCCACAGCTTCTCTGGGCAACCTGTCCCAGTGCCTCCCCACCCTCTCCGTGAAGAATTCCTTCCTGATACCTAATCTAAACCCCCCCACCTTTCAATTTAAACCCATTACCCCTTGTCCTGTCACTCCCTGCCCTTGTCAAAAGTCCCCCCCAGCTTCCTTGTAGCCCCTTCAGGCACTGGAAGGTGCTATAAGGTCTCCCCGGAGCCTTCTCTTCTCCAGGCTGAACAAGCCCACCTCCCCCAGCCTGTCCCCATGGCAGAGGTGCTCCAGCCCTCGGAGCATCTCCGTGGCCTCCTCTGGACTCGGTCGAACCAGTCTATATCCTTCTGATGTTGGGGGCTCCACAGCTGGACGCAGCACTCCAGGTGGGGTCTCACCAGAGCAGAGCAGAGGGGCAGAATCCTCTCCCTCGCCCTGCTGGCCACACTTCTCCTGATCCAGCCCAGGATACAGTTGGCTTTCTGGGCTGCCAGCGCACACGGCCGGCTCATGTCCAGCTTTTCGTCCCCCAGTACCCCAAGTCCTTCTCCTCAGGGCTGCGTTAGGTGGTTTAGCTGTTGATCTACGCAGCAGTAGTTAAATTTGTCTTTGGAAGCTGAGTGTGTGGTCAGATGTCGTGTAGTGACGAAGAGTGAGCAACGTCGCAATTTCCTTAGTGTGTTCTGAACCTGGTGTATGGATTGGTTCAAGTGGGAGGAACTGCTCTTAACTTGTTTTTATCAAGCTTGCTCATCTCATCGCTGTCTTGAGCAAATAAAGCAGGGCTGAGTGTAAGAGTAGGATGTATTGGTTGGTGGAAACAGTTGTGTTTTGTCCTTTTTACACCAAAGGGTGAGGTTCTGAGTCAGTGTATGCCAGTGGGATCTGGGCAGCAGGTAATGCAGACGGCCGAGCTCATTGCTGCGGGTGGTGGTTGGAGAAGAGGTGGCGGAGTGCGGGGGATGAGGTGTGACGGATGGTAGTGTGTTACGATAGGGAGGAGGAAGACGAGCTTTGGGATGAAGAGTGTAGTGATGCCATTCGGTTTCTAAAACCGTACAGAGACATGCCACTGTAGGTCACCTTCATTGTAAGTAGGAGACAGGCCAAAACAAAATTCAACAGCAGATAAGAGAAGTTTGAGTAGGTTGTCCTTTGCTATTGGCTTAAGATGAGATGTGATTTCAATCAAGAAATCGGCTATTTAGCCCTTAAAGGAAGGCAAGAACTGTGTCGTTTCAGCACTGTGCTGAAGGTGTCTGAGCTGGAAGGGAAAAGCTGTTGCTTGGCACAGCAGCACTTGGGGGCTTGTCATGGAACTCTCGCACTGTCCCCCACCAGAGGCAAGTGAGGAGGTGCTGTCTGTGCTGGGGGGCTTTCTGCCAGAACCAGAAACGGGGTGCTGCTTCAACGGCTGCAGCGCGCAGGCCAGCCCTAGCTTTTTATGGGTAAGGCTGGGGATGAGCCAAACGGGGGAAGTAATGCACCAGGAGGATGGGCCGGGTAGACAGGAAGCTGAGGGAGGGGGATTGTGTGTGTTTGAGGAACCAGCCTGCTGGTGTGGCAGCTGGTGAGTCTGCCTTGAGGGGCCACAGTTCGTATAGGTTTGTGTCCCCTGTTAGGTAGCACTCTGCCCTTCCTAACAACTACTGTGTATTCATTATCTCCTTTTTCCTGAGTGCTGTTTCCTTGCTCCTACTAACATGCAAGGAGTTAATCTATCTAACATTAGATATCAGGAAGAAATTCTTCCCAGAGAGGGTGGGGAGGCACTGGGACAGGTTGCCCAGAGAAGCTGTGGATGCCCCATCCCTGGAAGTGTCCAAGGCCAGGCTGGATGAGGCTTGGAGCAACCTGGTCTAGTGGAAGGTGTCCCTGCCCATGGCAGGGGGGTTGGAACTAGATGATCTTTAAGGTCCCTTCCAACCCAAACCATTCCATGATTCTATGCACCTAATCCAGCTACGCAACCAAACTGCAGTATTTTAAAAAGCTCGTGGTTCGTACTGTGTTTCTCAGGTTATCTAGGCGTTGTGCCTGTGACAGCGCTCCATATATAGTGTCACTGCTCTCCTACCGTAGCTACCCAGTTCCTTTATTCGTGCAAGTCTGATGAGGCAGCGCTGATGATAAATATTTTAAATCCAGAGATCAGTCAAGGTAAGCTGCAGGATCTTGAGGGGAGAGATTCAATTCCCACCCTGGAAAATCTATGTGAGATTGTTTTTCTTCCTTGAATGAGTAGGTAACTGATTTCTTTATTTAAAACTGAGGGAGGAAACTGTTTTTTGATTATTTTTTCCTCTTGGATTTGGAGAATGAAAGCTGGTGCAGTCAATTTTAGGATTCTTCACGGTCAACCTCTTAGAATCTTTGTGCTGAGCTTGAAATGCTTTGTTGGTATTTGTAAAGGTTTCCTGTTCCTGAGAGATCAGAGCGTAAGCAAGGCCGACTTGGATGAGTTGGGATGGTAGTTTAAAAACATGGATCGCTCGTGTGCGTTGCCATCACATCTAATCGAACATATTTGCTGCTTTTTGCTCCATTTCCTTCCACGTTGCTGGTCCCTGTGGAAGGTAGGGTATGGCTCGCTGAGGGGCGGCTGTTCCCAGGGCTGGGAACATTCCTTTTGACGTTGTCATGATGCTGCAAGTGCACACGGAGAGAAACAAGCAAAACGGAACTGGTTTTGTTGCTGCCCTGTTCGAAAAGGACCGCGTTTGCTCAAGAGGCAGCACTTACTAGTTAATGTAGCTTTGTTTAAATGTTTATCTTAGCTAATTTTGGTCTACTTGGTAAAGAGAGAAGCTCATTTGATAATAAAATCATAGCAGTTTTAGCCTTTCTGTGAACTTTGAGGTATCTTTGCAAGGCAGTTCTTGGGGAGCGTTTTACAGAGGCTGTGACAGTACGTGGTGTGCAGAACTTGCTTCTGCTGTGAGGAAGTTTTTGAATTGATACAGGACTTTGTACTGACACGCAGCGGGTCTGCTGCTTCTGTAGCTGGGTGTTTTCAAGGGGTAGCAGCCAAACTGTTTTCAGTTACAGGCCACTGAGGATACTGCACACTCTGGCTTGCGTGCTTGCTTAACGTGGCTTCCTCTTAAGAGCTGACTGTGTTTTCATTAAGGTTTTAAACCCCACCGTGTAACAGGCGCTTTCCGTTGACCAGGGGTTCCATCCGTAGCGCCGTTCAGCTGCGCTGAGGAGCGTACATAGAACCTATTCATGCTGCCTAGCGAAACTAGTTTTATTCGGGGTGCAAACGTGTTGACCCAGTTCATTGATATGGTTTGTTGTACAATGTTCGTGGGCTCTGAGGAAGCAGCAGTTGAGGCATCAGGATCAATTGGATGTCAGTTGCCTGACCATCCATCTCCTTGTCTAGACCTCCTCATCCTTGGCAACCTCTTTGAAATGTTGGTAGGTTTTGGTCCATGTATTCTTGCAGAGGCTTTTTTAGGCATGTAGTTGTCTTAATGGCAGTCAGATTTTTCTGTTTGAGTTTTGGTACGCTGGGTGCCTTTCTCTTCACTGAAATTGAGTCTTTCTCAGTCAGCTCTTACTAGAGGCACTGCTGTAATCCAGGTAGCATTGGAGATGTCCCTTAACCCTGCAAGGTTGCTTTTTGCATCCACCCTCATTGACAATGTTAAATGCTGAGCTTTTACCCACGCTTTCTTACCATCTTTATTACACAACAGCTTATTTCTCCTTCTTGCCAGAAAAGTGCCTTTGCATTCATTCTTTCCTGTTGGCTGTCATTACCTGTGAAAGCTGCTGTTCCTCTTAGACCTTATATGTATTCAAGGAGGAAGAAAAGCAGATTCTCCTAGTACTGTTGCCTTCAAAAGACTTCCAGCCTGGGAACACTTACTGACATCAGTGATACCTGTAGCAGTGGAACTTCCTGTGTGGACATACTTGTCCTGAATATACTGATTGGTGTGAAAAGTCACTTTTGCAGCCCAAATTAGGGCAGCTAGACAGGTCAAGTTTTGCCTGTGGGCACATCCAGAGTCTGAAATGTGTCCGGAAGTACTAGACATCGATGTGGGATCCTTGCCACTTACAAAATCCTTATGGAATTTGCTTGAAAGTCGTTTTTGGAAATGCACTTGGGGTGAAACTCAGCCTCACAAAATGTAATGGTATGTATGCTGGGTGTTTCGTCAGTCTGTGTGCACTCCAGCCCATAGGCTGGGTTCTCTTGCAGTGGCCGGGCTTCCTGTCTGGACTTGAGCAACACGCGCCGTTTGTTGACAGAGTGAACGGTGTGTCGTGTCTGTAGGTGACGCTGAACTGTGTTTAAATAACTGATCGCTGCTCGCTGTTCTTGAGTTTTCCAAATGGTGTTTTCTTCATCAACCATAGGTGGTGCGTTTGTGTCAGAACCCGAAACTGGCGTTGAAGAACAGCCCACCCTATATCCTAGATCTGCTGCCTGATACCTACCAGCATCTGCGGACCATCCTGTCGCGCTATGAGGGGAAGATGGAAACCCTCGGAGAAAACGAGTACTTCCGCGTGTTCATGGAGAACTTGATGAAGAAAACCAAGCAGACCATCAGCCTCTTCAAGAATGAGGAGAACTCTCAGCCTAGGTAATGGGGAGAAATGTTTTCAGATATGTCTTACAAACTTGCTGTAGTGACCAAGAGCTTGAACAAATGTCTGCTGACGTGTTGTCTTTACATGAAAACAGACTTTGAAGAGATTTAAGTCTGTGTAGAGCTTTAAGTAAGCTCTGCTTGGGTCTATGGAAATCTGAGGGCAGTTTTAAGTGTTCAGAGTCTCTGTAGTCTTAGTTGTTGTGTACTTCGGGTATGCTGGATTGATATAAACAAATTGGGCTGTGCAAAGGTTCTGCAGTCCTTGCGTTCTCTCATAGCGAATACGTGTGAGAGGGGATGACAAGGCTCATCATGACATATGTGGCAATTTTAGGGAACAGTAGACTATTTCGTTCCGGAGCAAAACAGTCATCTGGGCTAAAACTTGTTGTACTCAGTCTTTAGACTCTTCCTTTTTCTGGAAACAGAAACTGGCCAGTATTTGTGGAGCTGGGGGGAAGTAACCTTGTTTTGTAGGAACAGGACATCTTACTAAAACCCTGTAACTTTTGGAGACTGGAAACTTCATATTTAAGTTAGATCAGGGTGCCACGCTTGCAGACTCTTCTTTCACGATGTTCAGAAGGCAGAGCTGAGGTCAAGGGACATCTTCAAGGTGAACAGCACGTACTAAAAAGCATATGTGGGGGTAGAAACTGCAGTCGTATCAAATAAAAGGCTCTCTTGAACAAGTAGTATGAATTTGATGGGCGCTGTGCTGTACCTGAAAAGCTGCTGCTTTCCTTCCTCCAGCTTTAAGGAAAGGAGAGACAGGGTGACTTAAAGCTCTGGAAAAGGTTAATCTTGTATATTTGTCTAACTGTTGGCAGCAGCTCTGACGGACAAAGGTACGCAAAGCATACATTTGTCACCTGAAACTGATTTCAGGATTTTGGAGTAGGTGCTGAATTCAAAAAAGTGGACAAAGGTGAAAACCACCCAGTGACTGAACAGAATTGCCCTGGGGAGGATGTGTGGTTAACACCCTGGCAACTACTTGCCTGAATTACCTGGGGGGTGGGGGGAGTGGAGAAGTGCTGGCACGTGTTTCTGGTGTATTATTAGACTCTAGCATAGAGCAACATGTAATGTGTATGTTCAGTGTAATATTGACCTTCAACAGAAGACTAAGGTTGTGGCTCCAGAAGGATTTGTTGACCAGGTTTATTTGTGACCGACGGTGTTGAAGAATGAAATAAGAAAAGGAAGTTTCTTTGTGGATTGTTGTTGAGCATCGTTTCTTTGTGAGATGATAAGACTTACTCTTGGAGTTTGTTCGAGTCGGGGTTTGGGGAGTGTAAATACGGCATCTTTGTGGGGATACCTTTACTACTTCTTTTAAAAGAAGTTTAGAAATCTGTTGGAGGCCTTCAGGTCTTGGGTCCAATGTCATGTGCAAACACAAAAGATAAATGTAATATTATATCCACCCCCCTCCTGGCCTCAGGAGAATGTGGTTGCCATAGGCACCGTTGGCTCGTTGAAGGTGAGAAGTGGGTTTTGGTAGGTGCTGCTAGCTGGAATTTTCAGGAAGTGTTAGGGGAGATAAGTGATGTAACAAGTAGGGGGAGAAAAGAGTTCATTAGCCTGGTGTGTTCGATGGATGAGGTGATGCTTAGTGGAAAATGGAATTATGTTAGCCTTTGCTCAGATCAGAATGAACCACAGCACTTCTTACTGTGAATAAATTGATTAAACTGATCAAAATTAATCTCCGGATCTTCTGCTAGAGCTGGTAATTTTCTTGTATCATCCTTTGAGATATTAACATGGATTATCATTCAAGACTCTCAATGATTTTTGCAGTGCAGCGGGTTGCTTTGAAAATATTTTAAGTAGCATTTACCTTGAAAATGGTTTTGCATGTTGGTGTTATTTTATAGAACACTTAGTATTGCCTTCAAAAGTAGGCTAAAAGGGTATGTGAAACAGTTTAGAATTTCTGTGATATTCTGGTTAACTGTGAGTGTGTTGTGATTTGTCCATCATAAATATGGGTCATCTGATGAGTAAATGATAGCTCTGTCAAGTGTAAGTCCAACATCTTGCCTTGAGTCCCTTGTTTTCATAGAAAGAAGCAAAGAAAAGTTATTCCAGAATCATCCTCGTCAGTTTGTAGTCAAAGTAACCGATGAAAATGGGCGGTGGATACCCAAATCGATAGATTTGAACTTCAGAAGCAGGATTCCAGTAGAGGCTTGCTTTCTCACAGCAGTGATGGGAGTCTTTGGGGACTTGCTAATTGGACCATTTATGAATAAACAGCTTACCAGGAAAGCAACTGTGGTGAGACTTGTAAACATAAACAGAAAAGCAGAATTACATCCCAGCTAGTCTCGTGACATCTTCCTTTGCTTTTCACTCAGCCCAGGAAGCAGCAGTTACTGTTTTTCATAAAGGGATAATATCAGACACCCTTTTCTTGGTGCTGGGAATGAGCATGGTAACCTTCTCATTTCTCAGAAGTGTCGTAGAAAAGCAAGCGGTTAGAGTAGCCTGTGCGTGTGGTTCATGTAACACTAAGAGATACCTGCCCAAAGAATGGCACTTTTGGTTCAGCTGGGGATGCTGTTAAATGCTGCGCTTCCAGCATCAGCCTTTATGGGTCTGTGAGCTTTTGGAACCTGATCGCTTTGAGTGCCATTTGTTTCATCTGCCATTCAGTTAAATGAATTTTTGCTCTAAATGCACCTTTAGATTTAAAATGTATATAATAATTTAAGGTGAATAAACTTAAGAAATTTTCTCACCCTGTTAGGTGTTGAAGAATATTAATTTTTTCCTTTTGTAAGAATGAATCAATTCAAATATTCCGAGTGTGAGAGAAGCTGACCATCTGGAAGATTGTCAGCAGCCTGTAAAGCAGAGAAATAGAACCTGCATCTGGTATTCACTGGGAATGTACTCATGGCAGTGTGTATGTATGTATATAGACATAAAAAAGTCTGGTTTGCTCTTGATCTCGTGCAAGTTTGTGGCTAATGTTAGTCTGCAATGTTTTGAAAACACGCCTGCAAAAAATCTGGTGTACTGAATATAATCGTTTTGTCCTGACTTCTTCTGACTTTTTTCCTGTTGTCCTTGAAGTTTCGTTCTTCCTGCCTTCCAGATTCAGTATTCATTTAGTTTCCCGTTGTGTATGCTCTTATTTTCCCCCTCAAAATGCCTCTTGGTGTAGAGCCAATACACTATTTTGACATTTGCATAGCTCGTGTGAAAAGCTGTGCAGGTGTTTGGTACCAGCAAACAGGCCAGTAATTAGAAATTACAGTCTTAGATTGTAGGATCAGAATTGTCTTGATCACTTGAGCATCAGCCTTTTATTATTGTGAAATGGCTCTTTGTGCATTTCTTCTCAAACTTGGAGATTCTCTAGTGTGTTCACCCGAGGTGGACTGAGGAAGGGTTGGAGCACATCTGTGGAGAGCACTAGCCCCTTGTGCTGCTCGGAGTTTGTAGTAGCTGCAAGACGTGTGTCACCTAGGGCTGCGTGGTTTTCTGCAGCGCTGTGTGTGTGTTCAGAGTTAGACTGTGCGGGAGTATAATCTGGAGGCTATTTGGTGTTCGCTGTAAGGCAGGCAGTGTAAAATCCAGCAGTACAAAACAGGATTCCAGTTGTGTATTGAACGTTTAAAGGTACTTAGGCGCAGAGACCACGTGCCTTGATGCGTTCTTTGACTCTCTGACTACAGGAGAGGAGCAGAGGTGCTGCGCCCAGGGTTAAAACAGGCTCGTGTGAACACACGCCGTGTTTACGGATGTGGGTGAGTGTTCCTTCAGTTTTAAACTAGTGGCAGCGGTAGGGCTGTTAGAAGTGAATGCACCTCTCCTGTGTCAAACGGTAACCGTCAGTGTGCCGAAGCATCCTCCTGCTGTGGCTAACACCACAGTTAGCGTGACGTCCAACGTATGAACGCTCAGCGGCTTCCTTCCTTTTCCTAGGACTAACGGCTGATTTGTCGCTAGCACTGTGGCTTTTGGTGTGTGGTCGTCCAGATGAAATGGCTTCTCTTGCATAAACTCATACCGTGATTTTTGTCAAGAGAGCTCATTTTATTAGAGCTTTAAAGTTGCTATTTTAGTTGTGCTTTAGCTCACTTCCATATCTGTGTGAAAGCACCCTCAGCAGCATTAATTTTTCAAGCTCTGTAGGCACTTCCTGACTAATGAGTACACGCAGTTACTGTTTAAAGGCTTGAGTTGTAGCAAGTACTGGATTCCACTTGGTGACTTCTGAGTAGGTGTGCTTATTTTAGTGGAAATAACTACACCGGTCCTCTGAGTTTTGACAGCTTAGGAGCTTGTTTGGGTTGCCCTTGCTAATGGGCTGGTTGGTCTCTAAAACCAAATTATTTATGTGGGGATCTGGTAAAATGAAATGGTAACGTCTTCGTGCTTTGATGTAGGAAGGAAATAGTGTTTCAGGAGTTAATCATTCTGGATATTTTATCACATGCCTGCAGAAGGGTGAAGGTAAGTCATTCAGTAGTGGGTTGTCTGTGCTGCAGTGACCAGGAAGTATTCTTGAGGCTACGTGCCTTTCCAAAACTCTAGGTTTCCATTCTTTATGGATCCACAGTGCGTTCTAATGCACAAAGTATTTTAAATTTTAAGACTTGCCACTTGAAGTTTTAAAACCAACCCAAAACCCACTCAAAGGTAAAGCTTGTGGCCTATATAGCTGAAACAGTGCAATAAAAGGGGTTCTGTAGGGGTGCTTAGCAGGTCTAAACCCAAAGGAGAGTGGTACGCCTGTTCAGCACTGGGTAGTTTTGCTGTGCTGCCTGCAGCAGGAAATATGTGCCTTCTCTGACCCTGTAAATATTGTGAATTTCTTGAGTTTACTTCTTAACTAGCGAATAAAAAACCCTGGTGAAACATACATATTTTTCCTGCATTGTGATGGTTCCATTGATTGAAAGTGCCGCTAATGCTACAACTGCTCTGAACTTGCCGAAGCTCCTGATTACCGTTTAATTTAGAGGCTCAGT